GTTGCAGTGAGCCGAGATCACACCACTGCACTCCAGCCTGGGCAACAAGAGTGAAACTCTGTCTCAAAAAAAGACAGAAGTCCATACAGCGTTAATAGTGAGCCAGCTGCATCTCTGCATACATCCAGTGACACCGCTCCATCCCCAGGAAGCCCAGGCTTGCTGACGGGCCAGACCAGCCTGCAGGGCGCTCAGGAGCAGCTGAATGGAATGTGTTCATGCATTCACTCAACGAGTATTGACTGGGTGTTTGTTTCATGCCAGGTGCTGCACTGGGCAGTGAATGAATGAATCCCTGCCCTGGGGTTGACACTCCAGTGAGATGAAGAGACAGACCCAACATGACTGCATACGGTATGCAAAATAGGGTGCATGGTATGGACAGAAATACAGCCGGCAAGGGTGGGGATGGGCAGGCGCCCTGGGTGCAATTTTCGCAAAGTGACCTCATTAAGGAGGGGACATTGCAGCAAGCCCAGAAGCAGGCAAGGAGGAGTCACATGACTGTCTGAGGGAACAGCATTTTGGGCAGAGGGAACAGCCTTTGCAAAGTACTGAGGCCTTATTTTGTGAATTGAGTGCCTTGAAGTATGGGTTGCTTGGCCCTAGTTAAGGTTCTAAAAGAGCCTTTAAATTTTTTTCCCTAGACCTGTCTGTGGGGGCTCATGCCTATAATCCTAACTACTCAAGAGGCTGAGGTGGGAGGATCGCTTGAGTCCAGGAGGTTGAGGCTGCAGTGAGCCATGATCATACCACTGCAGTTCAGCCGGGGTGACACAGCAAGACCTTCTCTCAAAAACAAAAAAAAAAAACAAAAAAAATCCGATTCCAGCCCACACAAGGCAGCAGCTGTGAGGTGACACACGAACTCCATTAAGTCCCCCAAAATCCAAGAATCTTGTGTTTCCTTCACCAGTGAATGAGCCCCCAATCCTGAAGGAAAATTATTCTGGCAGCAAATCCTAGACAGGATTTACTGTTGGCCAGCTGTTTCCACCTGCAGTAACTGCTTTAATCCTTAGTGAACCCCAAAGATGTAAAAAACGTCACCGCTGGTTTTTTTTTTTTTTCAATATGGAGTCTCGCTCTGTCCTGCAGGCTGGAGTGCAGTGGTGCAGTCTCAGCTCACTGCAACCTCTGCCTCCCAGGTTCAAGTGATTCTCCTGCTTCAGCCTCCCAAGTAGCTGGAATTACAGGGGCACACCACCACACCTGGCTAAATTTTTATTTATTTATTTATTTAGAGACGAAGTTTCGCTCTTGTTGCCCAGGCTAGATTGCAATGGCGCAATCTGGGCTCACTGTACCCAGGTTCAAGCAATTCTCCTGCCTCAGCATCCTGAGTAGCTGGGCTTGCAGGCGTGTGCCACCACGCCCGGCTAATTTTTATATTTTTAGTAGAGATGGGGTTTCTCCATGTTGGTCAGACTGGTCTCGAACTCACAACCTCAGGCAATCCGCCCACCTTAGCCTCCCAAAGAGCTGGGATTACAGGCATGACCCACAGCGCCCAGCCAATTTTTATATTTTTAGTAGAGAGGGCGTTTCACCGTGTTGGCCAGGCCGGTCTCAAACTCCTGACCATGACCTGCCTTCCTCAGCCTCCCAAAGTGCTAGGATTACAGGCATGAGCCACCGCACCCTGCTGTTATCACCATTGTACAGGTGGGGAAACTGAGGCACAGAACTATGCAGTGGCTCCCATGCGTGGATAGGAAGCAGCTTGTGGATTTTAACCCAGGACACCTGTCTGTGCATTGCGCCAGGCCAGTCTGCACCCAGGCACTTGCCTAGGTGGGCCTGTGAGATTGTTCCAGGAACTCCCATTTTCATGGGGTCTCTGGGCCTCCAGGCCTGCACTGGAGCTGGTCTGCTTCTAGGCTGAGCCAATGGAGGGTCCCAGCGTGGGGGAGTCAGCATTGGCAGGTGATTGATGGTTTAATATCTCGCGCTGCGACCCGGGCCCCTCCTCGCCCACGCCTCTGCGGGCGGCCCCCAGTGAGAGGCAGAGTTGGGATAATTCGGTTACTAAAAGGAGAATGGAAATTCCGGAGAGAGAAAGAGACTGAGACAGAGGTGCAGACCAGGGGGTGAGCTGGAAGCTGCTTTGGCCGGGCTGGGCTTGGGCGGGAGGGAGGAGGCCGATTCCCAAATCTGGAATCCCTCTGGAGGCCTGGGGGCTCACAGGTCCCAGCCCCTCTAAAGCCGCCATCTGACTTCCTGTTTTGAGAACAGAGACAGGAGATGTCGCAAATGAGAGGTCACAGGGCAGGAGCAAGGCCTCCCCTTAGGGCAGCTGCTGGCCCGTGAGGCCAGGGAAAGGTAGGGACTGGTGGAGTTGGGGTGGAGGGGACAGGAGACTCCAAGTTCCCAGCTCACAAGCCTCCAATCATCCTTGACTCGAATCCTCAATCTCTCGCTCTTTTTTTTTTGAGACGGAGTCTTGTTCAATCGCCCAGGCTCTGCTCACTGCAATCTCCACCTCCCGGGTTCAAGCATTTCTCCTGCCTCAGCCTCCCGAGTAGCTGGGACTGCAGGCGCCCACCACCACGCCTGGCTAATTTTTGTATTTTTGGTAGACACAGGGCACTGTGTTGGCTAGGCTGGGTCTCGAACTCCTGACCTCAAGTGATTCTCCCACCTCAGCCTCCCAAAGGATTACAGGTGTGAGCGACCGCGCCCGGCTGGAGTCTGCTCTCTTTTTTTCTCTCTTTCCATCCACCTTCAAAGCTCGGACTTCATTTCGTCCCCACCTCCCCGGCCCTCACCTGGTCCAGCCCAGCGTGCCTTCACCTGGACCTTGCGGTTCCCTCTGCCCTTGCTCGGGTCTCCAGCCCGGCCGTGAAGCCTGTTCCCGCCGCAGCCTCCAGAGGGCGCGAGCGAACACCTGAGTCAAGCCACGCCCCCTTCTTCCGCTCAGAACCCGGAAGGGAAATTAACCTTGCGTTAATTTCCCATGGCTGCCGTTGCAATCGTAGCATTTTTAAATGACGCAAATTATCCTACAGCTCCAGAGGTCAGAAATGTGGTTTGGGTCTCACCTGCCTAAGACCAAGATGTCCGCAGGCTGCACTCCTTTCTTGGAGGCTGTAAGGGACGATCTATTCCTTGCTCATTTAGGGGTGCAGGGTTCAGTTCCTTGGGGTTGTAGAACTGAGGCCCCTGTTTTCTTGCTGGTTGTCCGTTCCCAGCTTGTAGAAGTCGCCTGCATTCCTTGGCTCGTGGGCCCTCCCTCCATTTTCAAAGCCAGCAAGGAGGGGTCAAGTCCTCCTCATATGACAGCCTTCAACTCCCCTCTGCTGCCCCCTTGCACTTTTAAGGACTTGTGTGGTAAGATGATCCAAGGTCATTTCCCTGTCTGAAGATCCTTAATTGTATAATCAGCAAAGTCCCTTTTGTCGCATGAGGAGGTAGCAGTTCACTAACCCTGTCTCTCAGGGCTTGGCCATGTAGAGAGGAGTCTTTCTCCTTTAGACACTTTTTTTTTTTGAGGCGGAGATTTGCTCTTGCTTCCTAGGGTGGAGTGCAGTGGCACGATCTTGGCACACTGCAACCTGCTCCTCCCAGGTTCAAGCGATTCTCCTGCTTCAGCCTCCCAAGTAGCTGAGGTTACAAGCATGTGCTGACATACCCGGTTAATTTTCTACTTTTAGTAGAGACGGAGTTTCTCCCTGTTGGTCCAGGCTAGACTTGAACTCCGTACCTCAGGTGATCCACCTGCCTCAGCCTCCTGAAGTGCTGGGATTACAGGCATGAAGTGTCTGACCTATTTTCTGCCTGTCCCTGGGTACCTGCTCCCTGCTCAACCTGCCTCTCGCCACATTCAAGCCAGTCATCTCCTTGACACCTCCTTCAGGAAGCCCTCCTGGAAGTACCCATGTTTATCAACCTGCGGAGCAGTTACCAGCTCCTCCCCAGGCAAAGTCCCGGGGGCTTGGGGGTCAAGTCAGGGGACAGGGGTGGGTGAAGAAGCTGTATTCCCATGCTGATCCCATTCCTACATGGGGGTCCTCTTCACACTGGTTTCTGGAATTCAGGGTCTGCAAAAACATCTGAAGAAATCCTTAAGCAAAAGCCATATGATCCTGACCTGGCGCGGTGGTTCACGCCTGTAATCCCAGCACTTTGAGGGGCCGAGGCAGGTGGGTCACGAGGTCAGGAGTTCAAGACCAGCCTAGCCAACATGTTGAAACCCCGTCTCTACTAAAAATACAAAACTTAGCTGGGTGTGGTGGCGCATGCCAGCAATCCCAGGTACTCAGGAGGCTGAGGCAGGAGAATCACTTGAACTGGGGAGGTGGAGGTTGCAGTGCGCTGAGATCGTCACACCATTGCACTCCAGCCTGGGCAACAGAGTGAGACTCCTCAAAAAAAAAAAAAAAAAAAAAAAAAGAAAAAAAAAAAAAAAAAAAAAAAAAAAAAAAAAAAGGCCATATGCTTCTAATGTCAGAGATCCTATCTGTAGAAACAATGGGATGTAAAAGTGCTACCTTACTTTTAGCAGCAAGGAAGGGGGTGCCGGTGCAGCCTGATTCATGGTTCACTGTCGCTGCATTTCTGCCTGGAACCTGGCGTGCCATCCCCATCAACCCCGTGGGAGGGGTTTCGAAAGGGTCATTGCAGATACTAGGAATCTGAAGATGAGATCATCCCGGAAAGCACAGTGGCCCTAAATCCACAGACGACACTCCCTGGGAGAAACAACACAGAGAAGGCTCAGGAGAGGAGAAGCAGCCGGGAAGAGCGAGGCAGAGGGTGGGGTACGGCGGTCACAGCGGAGGAGCCCCTGGAGCCCTCGCCAGCTGGAACAGGCCAGGAAGGAGTCTTCCCTAGAGCGTTTGTGGGGCGCGTGGCCCTGCGGAGGCCTGCTTTCAGACTTCTGGCCTTAAGAGCTGTGAGAGAAGAGCTTTCTGTTGTTTTAAAGCCACTCCGGTTGTGGCACTGTGGTAGTGGCTGCAGGAAGGAAACAAATCCAGGGTCAGATGGTTCTCGTTGAAGTGCAGCTGCTGTCAGCCACCCCTGCCTCTCAGCAGTGTTCAGAATGAAATCTCCCACTTTTTTATTTTTATTTTTTGAGACAGCGTCACTCTTGTTCCCTAGGCTGGAGTGCAATGGCATGATCTCAGCTCACTGCAACTTCCGCCTCCTGGGTTCAAGTAATTCTCCTGCCTCAGCCTCCCAAGTAGCTGGGATTACAGGCACGTGACACCATGCCTGGCTAATTTTTTTTTTTTTTTGTAGAGACGGGGTTTCTCCATGTTGGTCAGGCAACCTCCAACTCCCAGATTCAAGCAATTCTCCTGCCTCAGCCTCCCGAGTAGTTGGGATTACAGGCACCCGCCACCACGCCGGGC